AGCATTTCTTGGCAGGCACAAATTGCCTAGTAGCATAGAGCAATATATTTAGAAATATACTGTTTATTTACCTGTATGACTGTTAGAATTAGAGTAAAATAAATCATAATTTACAATAAATCATTATTAAGATCCATTGAGCAAAATTGTTCTTAAACTGAATAAGTTCTCATAAAACAAAGTCTTCCAGTGACTCAGAATTCAAAGCTAGATATTTCACGGGCTCACTGATATCATCCTTTCTGAAACAAACAGCATCAGAAAATTATATCCATACCATCTCCTCATCAATGAGCAAGTACAACTGTATCCAATGTAACTGTCTAGAAATATTCACATGAATATAATTTATGTATATATTGTATTTCCCACATTTACATCAAACACTGGATGCAAGGACAACTATCAGGTTCAGGTTTTCTGTAGTTAAGAGATTTGTGAATACTGAAAACAAATTGAATGTAAAGCTATATAGCAGTCCTAAATGTTGCAATGCATTCGTCCAGCATGAAAAGACAATGAGAATTTGTTTTCACTGTATATTGTTAACATCTCTCAGGCGAGCTCCTAGGACTACTAGCATGCATAATGTGCCAGGTCAGGCTTCTCAGACCTTAGTTTGAAGCCTTGCCGTTGTCCAAATGTTAGCGCATCTGACAGTCTAGTACTTTTTCTCAATACTGCTCTGAGTTCTCAGACTAGATTATGTGCTAAAGTCTTGTGTGTGTGACAAGTTCCAGGTTCAGAAACAAAAGTGTCCCACTATTCTGATAAGTGCCTTCTCATTAAGCCTACCAACTCTAGTTTGGTTTGGCTTCTGCACCCTACGTCATTTTGACAATTTCTCGTTTCCTAGTCCGACCCAAAATGTCTTCACCATCAACTTCCAATCATTCTACATTTCTATCCTCCACCGAAACAGCCTGAGGGCTCTCTGATTATTTCCTGAATAGAGGCCCAATCAATCCCTGTCCAGAACCACCTTACTCCTCCTGGCTAAACTTGCTGTCTCATCAAACAGTTTCTTCTTGAACTTGTCGCAGTTCCTCAAATGAATCTCTATGGTGCAAAACTGCCAAAAACTGAGGTTGTTAGAATTAATTTCCACACTGCAGTTGCATCCCCAGGGTCCTCACATCAACACAGCTTCCTCACTCACCACAAGGTTGAGGAGAGGGAAGAGGTCAGTGGCAGAGTCGGGGAGTGGGAAGTTTGGCAACAAGAAGGATCAGTGAGAGTTCATGTCAGTGGACAGCATGTGGCCAGGAGCAAGAATTTGGTCAGGGAATGAGTGAGGCTGCAGGTGGAGGTTTGATAAGAGGAAGGGACCAAAGTGAACGGGATGGTCAAAGAGTGTCTCTTGTGTTCATGTGTTGGCCTGCTGTGGTCATCCAGCTGTACACCTTGTTATCTCAGATTCTCCAGCATCGGCAGTTCCTACTATCTCCTGTATTATTGTTGTCTCTAATCTGAAAGGAAGGGGCCACAATGACCAGAATGGTCAAAGAGTGAGATTTGTGTCATGGTTCAGTGAGTAGGGTCAGTAAGTGAGCAGGGTCAGAGTAGGCAGGAGTTAAAGTAGGAAGTTACTGTTTCCTTTATTGGATATTTTAAATTTTATTTTGGTTTAAAAGGTTTATTAGTAAAACAAAAGAATTCAGTAATGTAAAGTATTTCAGCTTACAGGGTATAATGTTTTAATGTATTATTTCTGATGAGAAAAATCTTACAGAACCTAACTACAGCTTTTACACTGGCTTTAATGGGAAGATGTAATTAGAATAAAATCACTTAAAGACACGATTTGCAGGAAGGCAACCACAATTCTAGGTAAGAACTTACTCCATTCGTTAAACTCATCAACTCCCATTACCACTTCAATTACACTTACTCACACTGTGCCTCCTGTAAAGACTTCAGTCCATTATCCCAGATTTTCAATCTTCATTGAATCCATTCTGATGATGCAACCTTCCACAACAGTGTTTTCCTTTTACCCCAGTTGAGGATTGCTGTCAACTGGGTGACAAGGTATTCAATTGTGTCTGACCCATTTGTTGCACTTCTGCTTTCACTCCTGTCCCTCCCTTCCTGAATCACCATATGGTTCCTTTGTCCTTACTTTCCACTCCATCATCCACCACATTCAAAAGATCACCCTCCGCCGTTTCATCTATGTGCAGTATCATACAATTACAAAACTTATCCTTCCCTCCTCTACTCAGAAAGCATTCTGAAGGGTTAAAAAAAAACATACATTGCTGAAGAAACTCATCAGGTCTGGCAGCTTTTGTGGGGAGAAAACAGAGCTAACATTTCAAATCTTCATAAGCATAAGCCTGAACTTCCAGCTGATTGCCATTTTAATTCACTACTTGCTACCCTCACGTTCCTGTCTTCAGCTTGTTGCAGTGTTCGAGTTAAGCTCAATGCCAGCTTGAGGAACAGTTCCTCACCTGCTGATTATGAGCTTTACAGGCTTGTGGACTAAATACTGAGTGTAATAGTTTCAGACCATGAACTCTGTCTTTTATTTTGATTTTTTTTGATATGCTGGTCTGAGTCTTTTTATGCTTATGTTTATGTTTTTAGACAAAGCTGTTGATTACTTTTCATTCACACCCACTCTGCAAATGTGTTGTTACTTTACTACAACTATTTCTACTGCCTTTGCATTTTCTTCCACAACATCTTTGTCATCAAACCTCTTCCTCTCTCTATACTATCCTGGGCCTTCCTTTTTGTCCTCCCTCCCTCCCTCCTTTCAGCTATCAGTTTTCTACCTTTCTTCAATTCTGAAGAACTTATACCCAACTGAAAATGTTAACTGTTTCTCTCTACAGAGAAGCTGCCGGACCTGTTAAGTATTTCCAGCTCATTTTATTTTTATAATGTGGTCTCCTCTACATTGGGGAAACGAAGCGTAGACTGGGTGACTACTCTGCAGAACACTTGCATTCTCTTCACAAAAAAGACTCGGAACTTCCAGGTGCCTGCCACTTCAACACACCACACTGTTCCCTGGCTAACATCTCTGTCTTCAGTTTGCTGTGGTGCTCCTGCGAAACTCAGCACAAGCTGAAAGAACAGCATTTCATTTTCGACTTGGGGACCCTGAAGCCTCCCGGACTCAATATTTAGTTCAATAACTTTAGGGCTTGAGCTCTCCCATGTCCTTACCCCAACCCCCACAACCAAGGCCTTGTTATCACATAGTCTGCTGTTACACACCACCCATTGTTAGCCATTAACAGTTCCCATTAACAGCTATTCACCCTCCTAGCCAGATCGTTATCCACTCCTTTGTCTATCTAACTGCTCTTCTCGCTCTTTGGGCTCTATTCCCACCTATCATTTACTCCTTATCTCCTCACCCCACCCTATCTTCTGCATATAAACTGACATTTTCCTAACTACCATCAGTTCTGGGGAAGGGTCATTGACCTGAAGCATTAACTCTGATTTCTCTCCACAGATGCTGACAGACAAGCTGAGCTTTTCCAGCAATCTCTATTTTTGTCTCTTTAGATGTTTATTTCAGTTCTAATGGGTACCCACGGACATTGGTGGGTTTATCATAAAATCCATGCTATAAACAATTCAGGCTTTAATAAGCTAGAGCCATCAGTTATGGGGTCAGAGCAAAGATTTTAAAGTATTAGAGAATGTTATGACAAATGCTACTCTTATTTCTCATTGACAAATCAATCTGTAAATCACAAATAACAAGTATGATTGATAAAGCAACTTATCTGGAAGCACTTTACAGAAGAATAAAGAAAACATTTTGATAGAATTCTGAAATGTAGTTTTATTATATTTTCTGTCAGATTTTGCATATTAGGATCCATTCCTGTTAGGATACTTCAATAACATTAATTATAGAAAAGATCATTCAGAAGCTCCATTGCAGGCATTTGGGACACAAAAACACAAAAGCCAGCCAGCATGAGGGCCATTTCCAGATCTACCTGAATCCAGCAAACAATGCTACAGGCAGGGAATGCAAATTATTCAGCCTGCAGCATGGTTTCTCAAGCTTGAACGGCTTCAAAGTGATTTGAAGCCTCCCTTTACCCTTTCAGCTTACTGGTTGCATTGGAGCTGCTCTCGGATGCATAATTGATACATGAAGATACTTTAGAGAGAAAGAAACCTTGCTGAAGGAGCTTCCTGCTGGCAGGAAAATTGATATTTTCACAATACAAAGTCTGGTAAATGGAAGACAAATATATTATTTTCTTCTGTTAAAGGGGAAGGTGTTTGGGAAAAAAAAACTTCCTTTTGAAGCTTTCTCCTTTGGCTCAAAAGTACATTTAATTTGCAAAGCCATTAGATGTAAATAAACAATTACAGCAAGTAGAACTCTCAACTGAAATCCGAAAGGTGAGCCCTTTCCCAATTCATTGACAGTAGTCTTCAGATTCTTGAATCTATATTTTCTCAATACCTTTCATATTTTGAGTTTCAGAGAAGTGATTGAGTATTGTCTCGGAAATGACAGGTGATCTGTTCTTCTTGGATTCCTACGTATCAGGAAAATCACCTATATAATCAATATTTATGCTCTGGTAGTCAATTTTTTAATCAAAATATTTATAATAAAAGCGTGTTTGGCCATTCAGCAATAAACAGTCCTCTATAAAATTGCAAAATGGATTTAAAAAATCAAATTTCCGGGAAAAAAATGGATCAGAGGTTACAGTATAATATTCTCCCATTTGTGAAGGATGTAGTGGAATGTGATAGTCATTATATTGCTTGAAACCTTGAAGGGGATGATTTTATACAATTTGAATACTAAATTCACTGAAAACAACCATTTTATTGGAACTATTGTCCTTTTCAGAAAGACAAATAAATTACTGCAGAACCCTCACCACCTCCAACTGCATGCTTTACAGTCATTGATTTGCTATTTAGTAGATTTAACAGAAACAAAGGCAAGATCATAGCTGAATTACTGTTGTGCAAATTAACTACTTAACATGTTCCTCACTATAAGACTAGTTCCAATCATCAACATATGAATTGACAAAATCTGAAACATTGTTTCTAATTTCTATGTGATCATCATAAATTTCAAAAGCTAAATCTGTACTTATGTCTAATATCCACTGTGAAATTTAAAAAGTTGTCATCCCTGTTGTGATACCACATAACACCCAGTTGGTGGCTCTCTTTGACTACATGTTCACACCTGCTCACATTATAACATTGTACAGGCGGCATAATTTCAAAATGGCACCCTTAAAATATTAGAATGTTATCAGACATTAAAACTGACTCAAAGTGCAATGACTGCCTCAAAGACACATCAGACCAGACAGGTGAACAAGACAATGAATAGCGTACAGCTTAACTGATATCAAATACATGAAAAACCTTTGTTTCATCAAATATCCAATTATCTCAGCTTTAATGCAGGTAAAAAAAGGCTAAATTTGTTCACAATGATTATTAATGATAGCACATGACTACACATTACATATATTTTCTGATTTTCAAAGTTCCAATTTATTGTTCATACCTCGTTTATTGCAAGATTATATTTGGTTTTCATGGTCTTCAGTTCAGCTTGCACCCCTTCTAACTGCAACTTGGTCTCTTCTGCCTAAAAGAGAAGAAAATTGAGTGTAAATTTAGAAGGATGAGCTTTGCAGTAAGAAAATCAAGGCTGAAAACAAGAACTTTCAGCCATTGCACTCCTCACATGCTTGGGTTCTTTTCTTAATTAAAGCCATTAATCAGATGACATGAAATTTCAGTTATGAAACTGACACTATGTCCTGACAGCTGACACATGTCAAAATGAAACCTATGACCCATACTGTTAAATTCCAAACGTTCACACTCTTTTTAGGGCTCTACACATTGCATTCACAACTGCAAACCTGAAACACACTATCCCAGTTAAGCACTTAAGATAGGATTTGCAGCATCACGTCAGTGCTAATAAAATGTGGACTTAGTACATGCAACAAATTACAATAATTAGTCACCATACCAATGATGGATTATGCAAGCAAAACATCACTTTACTACATTCACTAAACACGTTTTGCAATTGCCTCATTAAAATACTTAAAATTAATGAGATTAAGTTTGAAAGATGAAGTTATTTTTATTAACTGTCATTGTTTAGAAAAAATGTCAATGTAGTCTTCTCATCAAAAGAGAGGACAGTCAATTTTGGTTACTAATTTTCTCAGAAACACAAACATTTTTGTCCAGCAGTAGCAACACTGGATAATTGATACCTGTAAAAGTGCTACATGTTTGTAATCTAATAAAGGGGGTGCAGGTGCTATATTAAACCATGATCATAAAATCCAAGCAATTTACACTACCGAAGTCTAATATTGGATGTCATCTTTAAGCTAATTCCTAAATCATATTTTCTATGAACAGCAGTTGTATTTATCAAAACATTTTAGTGAATTTTAAATACAGTGAATTATGTATTTTTGCAACCTACATAACCAAATTTTGTCAGAAATTTCAGCTTCAGTTGATTATCATCACACATTTCCAAATTATTACACGCTCTGTTTTATGGTACTTGGAAGAGTATTAAAATCCTTGGTGACACTACCTGAGTGCTGCCAGAGAACAATTTGCAGTAAATTAAAGCAAATTTTTACGCACAGCATGATGCCTTTAAATAAAATGGGCACATTTCAAGATTAGTTTTGATATAGAGTAGAACTGTCAACCCTATGGGGCATGCTAATTTCTTAGGTACTATTCTATATTTGTTTTGCTGCTGTGGGTATATTAAAAAATCCCACAACACCACTAAAAGAAGAACAAATTTCTTCCAACATTCTGTCTAATATCCCTCATCAAACCCACGAAGAATAAATGAAACAAGTGAAGATGTCACTCAGTAGGGCATGCTGTGTTAACTCAATATTATCACAATTAGGTAGTTCTTCCTTGAAGCATTCCTCTACTTGCTTGATGTGCTACAACTACAAAGCTGACAAAAGAAATCATTTTATTTAAAAATTCCACTTCACTGAAGAGACTTCAACAATCTACTCTAAAAACTCTGCTCACATTTTGGCACTTTCCAAATTCCATCATAGCAGCTGAGACTTCACAACATTGTGAAATAATCAACAGCATTCTAAATCAAACAACTTGCATTATTTAAAGAAAGTAAAATTTCCCCATCTCCAATGTTGGCAGGTTTTTCTAAAAAAAGTCCAGGATCTAGAACCACATCTTCATTTGAAAACAAATCTGTTTTTCTTTGAGCCATATGTTGCCTGAGTACCAGGTTTAGTTGAAATGTTAGTCTATTAGTTTATGATTATATTGTTTATGGACAGAGACAAAAGAACAGGGGCAAAAATATCACCTCTACCAACCTTCAGCAGTGATGCTAATAATTATGTAATTGTGCTGTGTAAAATGGTTGCCACATTTATCTACACATCCACACATCAAAATTTAAATCATATGAAGTACTTAGATTTGTCTTTGTCTCTTTGTGTGATAGTATTCAAAACACCTTAAAACATATAATAGATTACTTTAAGAAATTGAAATTTTCCTGTCATAATTACAAAATCGTATAAAGCACAATGATAATGAGTTGTAGTATTTCAAGCATCATTCATTAGTACGAATAATTTAAAATAATAAACAAGTTATGTTTTCGTTTGTTATATGCCAAGCATGTGTATATACCATGGTGACTTCTGAATACACATTTCTTAAGCTGGAAAGTAACCCAGATGTTATAATGTATGAAGTTTTAAGGGTTCAAGAATTGTGCCGAGAGAATATAGTAAAGAAAACAAAATATTGTGAGATATACAGACAATAAAATAAAACTAAAATCACCATCGTATCATTTTAAAAAAACTTTGCTAAATTCAGTCTAGAATGTGGTGTCCATTTTTGTCTCCTTACATGGAGTAATTTTCAATCTTGAGTTGGGAATCAGAACATTCTGTGCCACAACTTGGCATTGTGTTAATGTCAATGATGCAATAATTTTGAAATTTAAAATGCCTAACTGGTCTGGGGATAAATTCAGTGCTCAATTAGTGGTGGTAAAATCAGTCAGGAGGTGGGACATAGCAACTCAGGGCCTTTTGAAAAAGCAAGCAGCAGCCACGGGCAGATTCTCTGATGCCTGTCTTGACAAGTTAACCTGGAGGACTTGGGTCCAATGGTGTAAAAGATATAAAAGTCAAAAAAGGTGAGTGGCATGTGACATCTGGGTGATAGACCTCAACACTGGATGCAACAGCATGCACAAGTCAAGTAAACTGAGTGCCCATTGTTGCCTTTACCTTTACAGAACAAGTGCTTAATTGAATCACTGAGATGCCAGGCACCCTCACACACTAGGCATAACTGAACAGTGGGCATCATTGAGGAGTTTAACAGTTCATATCAATGTCATGCTAAAATGGGCAAGGGAGAGCTGGCTACTTGATTCTTTTTTCAACCTGCAGAAAGACAGATCTCACAATAGTTTTGAGATGAATTAGATGGAATGGAGATATGGCAGACCTGATTAGCCTGGCACTAGTAGAAGAGGCAGCATTGGAGATTATGAAATTGTCATCATGGCAGATTGTGAGCAATGATGAGGTGAGGGGTCATGAAGAGCAGGGTCACTTGATAACTCTACCTTCAAATGAAGGTCATGGAAGGAACTCTTAAATAATGTGAGCAGTGGCTCTTGAATTGCTATCATCATGGGAATTGCTTGTACTAAAGTATTTGCGAAACACCCTGAGATCTCATCATCACCATCTAATGTGTTCTGCAGGGGTAACAGTGGAAGAACAGCCGAGCATCCCAACACAGCCCTACATGTCCCATCCCAGAAGACAGATACAGCCATGCTTCACTAAGTGAAGATATTGAATTCCAGGAGTCACAAATAGACCATCATTGTGAAGCGTCAGAGACAAATGAGTTTCTGAATTTAACATCCCTGAGGCATTGTAGAGTCAAAGGCAATCATCAGATGAATTGATACAGAGCTTGTGCTCTGAAATGATTTGGGGTTTTGAGCACACAGGGTCATCCATTGTGAGAGTGGCCAATATCTTGGAGAGCTATTTGCAGAAATGCTCTGAGTGGAGGTAGGAGCAGCAAACTGACATGCACATGGCTCCCGCATGCCAGGGTGTGATGTGTCATGAAGCAGTTGCAGGATATTCATCTGGGCAAGTGAACAACCGGAGGCTGCATTGCACATCATTACTAATGACTTGGGTAGGAAGGGGAATGAGGCCATGAAAGCAGATTTCAGGGTGATAGGAAGAAGAAGATTCAAAAATAGGGCCTCCTAAAAGTTGTAATCTCAGGATTACTTCCCATCCTGGGTGCTAGCGTACATAGAATTAGGAGAACTATGTGATTGAACGTGTGATTGGTAAACTGGTATAGGAGGGAGGATATTCAATTTTTGAGACATTGAGACTAGTTTTGGAGCAACTGGAGGTATCGGAATAAGATGGTTGGGCTACATCTTAACTGGATCAAGAATAATATCCTCATGGGGAGTGGTAAAACTAGATTGGCAGAGGGATGGAGCCTAAGAGGGAGTTTATATTCCATGGAAACATAAATAGTGAAAGAAAATAGAAAAGTAGAAAGCAAAAACAATGTACAAAGAAAAACTAAGCTTCAAATAGGATCAGAATAGGGAATAATGTTAAAAAAGCAGAATTAAAGACACTCTCTGAATGCATATCTTGTTAGCAAAAAAGTTGATAATTTGATTGCATAAATTGAAGTAAATGGTTTATGACTGAATTACCATTACGGAGACATGGTTCAGGGTAACAAAAATTTGGAACTGAATATCCAAAGATATTCAGCATTTTGGAGGGATGGGATAAAAGATAACGGAACAAAAACAAAGTTTCTGGAAAAGCTCAGCAGGTCTGGCAGCATCTGTGAAGGGAAAAACAGAGTTAACGTTTCGGGTCCGGTGACCCTTCCTCAGAACTGTTCTGAAGAAGGGTCACCAGACCCGAAACATTAACTCTGTTTTTTCCTTCACAGATGATGCCAGACCTGCTGAGCTTCTCCAGCAACTTTGTTTTTGTTCCTGATTTACAGCATCCGCAGTTCTTTCAGTTTTTAAAAAATAATGGAGGTGAGTTAGCATATTTAATAAAAGAATATCAGTACATTAGTAAGAGACTAGATCAAGACGTGGAATCACTTTGGGTGGAACTAAGAAATAGCAAAGGGCAACAAACATTGGTGGGACTCGTTTGTAGATCACCACAATATAGTGATGACACGAGCTACACTGTAACCTCAATCTACACACAGACTGGGTCAAGCAAATCAGCACTAATACTGTGAGAAGTAAATTCCAGGAGATGGGACAGGAGATGGGTTTCTGGAGTTTTTTGAACAGCCAACTAGAGAAAAGGCTATTTTGGAAATGATGTTGAATAATGAGAAAGGGCTAATTAATAACCTTACTGCAAAGAAGCCGTTGTGAAATATAGTAGTGGTTGACATTATGTTTGAATGTGATAGGATTCATTCTGAATCAAGGATCAGATATTCATTCCTCCAGGACAAATGCCCAAAGAAAAAGGTAAATTAAACATGGTTAATGAA